CGTGTGACAACCTTTGTGCAAGTGAACAAATATGCTGTTCAACGCAGGTTGATGTTCCGGGTTTGGAGGGCGCGGCCCAGTTGCATGTGATCGATCCAGAGTCCCTTCGGAACCACGTCACAAGCCATGGCTTGCCGAAGTCTGATTTGTTTAATCGTTTGAGAAAGGCAAGTTCGAATAAGTGCTGTGTCATGTATAAAACGATTTAACAATATCCCTGATTTGAGTACAGTAGGGGTACCTATATTGCGCCCCCAATAGCGGCCCCCTTTTTGGCTTGTCGCCATTTTACGTAATAATTTACGCATACCCCCTACACCGGCGGCCAGGGTACCTTTTGTAGCTGCTGCTTAGGGTACCCCCCTGAACACAATTGCGCCCCCGGCCCCAAATAGCGGTCCCCTCTTGGGCCATGTCACAGGGGGGTGCGCTGTACTGGAACCCCTACTGTACAAACCCCACAGGGCAGCCTCCAGCGTCGTTGTACCTTCCCAACCACCCCCAGCAAAATGCCAAATGCCCCCCCCCCCCCCTCAGCTGCGCCCTCTGCCCCACCCGCGCCCATGGGTACCCGCAAGCTCTTCGTCTACGGCACGTTGCTCGCGGACGAGGTCGTGGCGCCTCTGCTGCGCCGCGTGCCGGAGTCCCGCCCCGCGGTGCTGCGCGGCTACCGCCGACACGCCATCAGGGGCCGCGTGTACCCGGCGCTGGCGCGGGGCGGCCCGGATGACGCGGTGGAGGGCAGGGTGCGGGGGGCGATCGCGCGACTGCTCCCCTTCTTGGAGTTGAGATGTGCAGCAAAAATGGGGTTGAATTAGAAACCAAAGACTACGCCGAAACAGCCAAGCACTTGTTGGTTTTGTAGTGGATGATGGTGGCTCAATTTCCAGGATTTGTGCCTCGTGTCCGCTGCTGCCAGATAGGTGCTTTGCTATGCGCTGTATGCGGCGTTTGCTGTAGACCTCCTGGCAGGAGCGGAGACGTGCAGTGGAAAGGGAGCTGTAGTTAGGGCGGAATAAGAGATCAAAGACCAAGACCAGATGCTTTTGGTCTACGTATGATGCTTTTGTGCTTAGTAGTGTGCTCGATTCAGACTGTTGGAAGGCTGCAGGGGTGTTCGCATCAAGGGGAGCTCATGCAGTGTGCATGATCTGAACACAATCACCTTTGCCTCCTGCAGTCAACTGCCGCGTCCTGTCAGCGATGGGTCAGTTCTTGGCGAAGCCAACAACTCGTTTGGTCTGTACAGCAGTTGGTATTTTAAACCATATTGCCAAGGTACCGCAGTCTGTTCATTTTAGACCATAAATCCAAGTTGCTAATAGACAAGGCTGGGGAATAGGCACTAGGGGATTGGGCCAGTAATGAATGCTCCATTCCTGGGCATTGCCATTCGCCTGATGTTGTGCATGCTCCGCAGGTATTCCTTGACCTGACAGAGGGGGAGACGCTCGTACTTGATGGTAACTGCATTTGTTCATGTGCAGGTTGCATATGATTGCCCTAAGCTGGCACTGCAATGATTGCTCTCTCAACGCTGGTATTGTGCAGCTCAGTAGATTCATTCCAGCGTTTGCATTATGTTGTTGCATGTCTTGCCACAGTTTGTGGCGTCAAATGCCAACCATGGGTATTTATCAAATCCAACAACAAGTTTGCTGGCCTGTGGAGCTGCCTACCCTCAGCATCTTTTGCAATTCCACAACTTGTAATGTACGTGGGACACAGAAAGCCAATGCACTGCTTTTCTGCGCGTTTTGGTGGTCTGTCCCAATCGGACATTCTGCAGTTTTTCCAGGATTTGTGACCACTGTTCGGGTTGTAAGCTCGCCAGTCTGGTCAACGAATCTTGCTTTGACATGTGACGAACAATATCAAACGAGGAAATTGTGTTGCAGAGTCCGGGTGCCACCTGTATCCAAAACAGTGAATTCCAGGTATTATGGGAGTGCTACTTGGCAACTGGTGCCAGATGATGCGAGTCTGCATCGAAGCAGATTGTTCATTTTTGAATTGTGAAAGTGACAGCAAAGTGGCCCTCTCTACTGTTATCTGTTCAACTGCAGATTCAGCACTGATTCTGGGATGGGCTATTGTTCAGATTACGAAGACAATGACTACACAAGGGAGACTGTCCACGTACTGTTAGAGGTGTGGCAGTGGCTTTCCAGTTTGATCTGGAAAACTGAGATTTGAGTTGCGTGGAATCGTCGTCTTGGTTGCTGCTCTGTAGTACTGCTGTAGGATTGAGCTGTTGGACACCAAATGTTCCATCTCTTTCTGAGCAATTTCCATCGAAGAAGGGAACTCAACTCCATTTTTGCAACACAGGGCAGCTATCAGACAAGCATCAATGGCAATGTTTTTTTCTTTGTCTTTTACCACAGAATATCAGGAGTATTCAAAATTCACATAAAAGAACTGAAAAGAATCTGAGACCCCTTCCAGAATTGAGATATCATTCGTTACTAAGAGTGTACACTACTTTTGGGAAATGACAGACATGCAGGCCACTGAAGCACGTTCAGTGAGAGCCCAACCAAGAGTCTAGCCAACACACCTCATGCTCTTTTGGTGGCATCCATTTCCACTAGCAAGAGTGCTTTGCATTTTGTGTTCTGCTGCGGTACTTTGTGTACATTTGCAACTGAAGATCCTTCCACTCCACACTACACATTGTGGTTGCCTTTTGTTGTTTTCCATCACTTTCACTTGCTCACATGCTGCCTGGTCCCATTCATTGGTGCTTAGTGTAGGCTGGTTGAGTAATCCCCCTCCCATTTGGATGCAAACAATGATGGTGAAGAAGGCGTTATCATCGCTGTGACAGTGCAGGGCTACTTGAATTCCTACACACCATGCATTTGTTGGGACTCCTCCATGTGATAGAAGGTTTGGATTACGATTACCTGTGCAGTTGAAATTTTGTCGTCTTTTTGAGCAGCATGGCTGTTTGCTAGGTGCATGGACAGTGTTGTGTCTTGTGGTGACAGATGCAGACAAGCCAAAGTGCGCATCCGTGACCATGGGTGCTCATGAGGTACTCTATGCTGATCAATCCAGTGTCTGCGCGTCAAACAGGGTTCCGAAGAGGTTGCAGCCTATGTTTATGTGTGGCAGGAGAAGCTTAGGTACGAGAACTCAAGGCTGGCCAAAACACGTTGCCTGCAATAGGTGCAGCTCTGCCATGCCCTCAACAGTCTCTGCTTTTGTGGTGGTTGCTGGGAACCAAGGACATGTAAGACAGTCACATAAGACAGTCTAGTACATGGAATGCCTACATGCATTGCAAGGCTACAGAGGGAGAATTGGTACCATGCCTGGACTGTATTGAGAGCAGGGATGCATGAGATTCAATGAGCTCGGATCTGCTGTATTGCGTGATTGCAAGTTCAGATGATCTGTTCCATTGTTCCCGTTTGCAGAATCTGCGGAATCAAACAGATGACACACAAAGGGGCTGCTGTGGCTTGGTACACGTCTGTCATTTGCAAGGGCCATATTATGTTTGTACATGAAGTGTAATTGGAAGGAATTCAGACCCTGACAGTTACATTGCACATTGTGGGTGTCCTGCCAGACGTAACTCCTGAATTGCAGTGCAAGCGGACAGGTCCTTGACTTGTTGCAACAGCATCCACAAGTGTTGGAGACCTGATGACAGGCAGGTGATGTCCTGCGGCACCCAATGTTCAGGAGCGATCAATCAATGGGTGGTGCTGTTCAAAGAAAGTGGTGTGCAGCGGCAGTGCTTGGAACTGTTGCCAACTTTTACTTCAGATATTTTGATCTGCAGAAGAGTTGAATTGATTTTTTTTTGCTGCGAAGGCACCTTCTGGGTGGGGAATGGGATTATGCGGAATTCAGGAAGATGCACTTGGCCAATTACATAGGTGAGGAATTCCTTGAATGACCACAGCGACAGCCCATTTTCAAGATTGTGGATCTCTGGAGCTACAAGGGCAGTGAGTCATCCTGTTTGTGCATCGTGGGTCAGACATGCACCAAGACGAGCTTGTCATTCGAATTTGTGTTGTCAATGGAACATGAAATGAGCCAGCAGCAGTGGCATGTACGAAAAGGAGGCCTGGGATTTATTCTTATTCTTTCATTGTAAGTTTGTATACATGGACACCACGATCCATGGAGGTGGGAGGTTGTGGAGAATGCTAGCCAGCACACATTGCTTGCATAACTGGGCTGTTATTGACTGAGAATAGGTGTGCCTGGGCGTCAAATGATGGTCGAGCACTTGATGCCTCGCATATGTTGCATTGCAATAGTATTTATGTGCAATAGGTGCCCTTCAAGGGCCTGACAAGTGAATTTCATTCTTCCTTCTTGCCGAACCACCTTGTGGGTGTTCTTTCTCATTTCAAGACATTGCAACACATCAAGGAGATGCAGGACTTGCTTCGTTCTTTGCAGAAGATGTGAGGTTGTGCCTCCTCACAAGATGGTGCAGGGTGATGTAATCCAAAAGAGTGGCAGCAGGATTGATCGCAAATTGATCGAGAATTGGGCAGGGGGGGCTCAGGGTGTCTGTCAGATCAGAATACATTGCAAACAGTGTCTTGATGGAATCTAGGACAACACTGTCCATCGGATTTCCCGCAGATCCGGCCTCATTGCTCTTTGCTCCAAAGGAGTTGAGTACGTCTTGCAAGGCTTTGTCACACAAATGTGCGGCTGAAAGCTCGACTCGCGGCACTTGGAATCTGGGACCCCCATTTTCAGAAGACTCCCCCTCTCCCCCCCGGCCTAAGCGCTAAACGCAACAGCTGGAAAAAGAAACGGCGACACCCACACCCCGACCTCGCCGAAAATCTCTGGCCGAAAAGAGGAAAAGCCGCAGAAGGAAAACACGATTCCAGAAGAAAACGATTCGCCAAAAAAAAAATATAGCGTGCTTGCGGTTGTAGTACGGCAGAATCCGTCACCACCCCGCCACCAGCGCGCACGACTTGGAAGCCCACCAGCGGCCCCCCACACGCCTCGCCATGGGCAGGCCGCTGCTCCTGGAGGTCGCGGACAAGCCCGCGACGTCCGCTGCCATCGCCGTGTGCGTGGGCGCCTGGCTGCTCATCACGCAGCGGCGGCTGGGCTACGAGGACGTCGGCATGAGCTACGACAAGGTCGTGCGCGGGCGCCAGGCGTGGCGCATGATCGTCTGCCAGTTCAGCCACGTGGAGGCCCTCCACCTGATCTTCAACGTCAGCGCGCTGTGGTCGCTGGGCGGTATAGAGACCAGCCCAAAGATGGGCACCGGGTACTATTTGCGTGCCAGCGCCGCGCTGATCGCCCTGTCTCAGCCTCTCTGCCTGGCGTTCTACCACCTGCTGATCACGGTGGGGGGGAGGGAGCGTTACGCGCGCGTGACGGCGGTGGGCTATTCCTGCGTCACGTTCGGGCTCATGTCCGCGCTGTCCGTCAACGAATTGGGGATGGGGCAGCTGAGCCTGTTCGGCCTGGCCAGCATCCCCGCCCCCCTGGCCCCCTTTGGCTATCTGGTGCTGACATCGGTGCTGATCCCACGGGCCAGCTTCATCGGCCATCTGAGCGGCGTGTTGGTTGGCTACGTGGTTGGGTTTGGCGTCTTCGAGCAGCTGACGCCGTTCTGGGCGGTCAGCCTGGCGCTGTGGGGCGCATTGGGGGCGCTTGTGGGACTGGTCAGGAGCGGCGCGGTGAGCCTTCCGTTCGTGAGGTTTGAGGAGGAGGGAGACGTCGAGGCGGGGCTGGCTGTGGGATTCTCCAGCGGCGCTGCTGTGTGAGATGGGAGGAGGGAGAAGATTTCCTACGACAAAGTTGTGCATGTCACCGTCCGTGCTACGCCCGCAATACATGACCCATCAGAAGTATTATGGCCATGTCCAGGGCCACCGATGATGAGAGGAGGAGAGGTGATATATTCGAATTTTTCGGATCGAATGGGACTTGGATTGTTTCGAGCGGGTGCGGTTGCCGAAAGGGAAAGATGGTATTGCAAAGAGGCGAGGGGGAAGCCCTCCGGTTGCAGGAGGGGGCCGCGAGCCCAACGTCAGGCCTTGTCCAGCGGAAGCCTGGGGGCCGATTGAGCCGAGGCTGGGCCCAGGCAACAAGCTCGAAGGCATCAGATCCAGTGGGGACAACCCATTGCGCGAATCGTTACTTGACCAGCCTGGTGGATCAGAGGTTCGAAGGTCGGGGCGAAGGCCAAGGAAAGGGGCCCTGCCACACGTGGAGGGTCCCAGTTGATTCCGAGTGGCTCCCAGTCCCCCAGCTGCTGCTCAGTTGCCAGAGCTGCATTGTCGCAGAATTGGTTGTTTGGTGCCTCTGTGAGAGCATGTTGCAAACGGTGCCAGCACAACACCAGGTGCTGCCACGCTGTGGTCGTCAGGCACATCCACAGTGATTTCCTCCCAGATGAGGAAGGCCGATCAGGGGCTCAGTTCCAACGTTGGTGGCCCAAGGATTCACACAGATGGACAGCTGACATGCCATGGCCATCAGGAGATGCATCCTGTGTTGCTGGTTTATTGCCACAGGTGAATCATCTTTAGTTGTGCCTCGCTGTGGCAGGCAATCCAGGTCAGTGTACACACGCAAGCAGAACATGAACACTTGAGCAATGCAGGCCTGCTGCCAACTCCTTTTGGCCTTTGCGTTTTTTGCAACAAAGGCTGCATGCGTGCTGCTCCTTTCCAGGCAGTTTTGGGGAACCTGCCTTGTGTTAGCAGTTGTCTGAGGACCCCTTGCCTGTGGCTGTTGCCGAGGAAGGAAACCTGCCGCCTAACGCACTGCACCACCCCTCCTCTGGCTTTGGCTGTCCAATGCGGATAACTTGATCCAATGCACTGCCCAGTGTCATGTGCGAGAACTACGGAGGTGTAAGTATGGCAGCTCACACTGCTGCAGTAGTTTCTTGGAAAATTCGACCACTGGATCAGACAGTCTCCACTTTGGTGTCGATGCACCTGCAGCGATTACCTTTGGACAAGTTTTAGCCGCTGGTTTCGAAACTTGGGCGTACATTCGTGTTCAGAGGAAGCTGTTGGTATGGTGGCTTGGGGGTTGGGTTGACATGTTGAACAGATAACTGGACACCTTTGCAGCCTGTGGTGGCTGTATCAGATTTGTCTTTGCTTGCGAAAAATTGTACTCCACCTTTCGGAGCTCAAGCGCGGATCCTGTTTCCTGGGTGGCTGCTGTGCAATGCTGTACATTCCAGCAGATAGCGTCACAGCCCAACAATAGCGAGGGTGCTGGGATACATCCTTGCTGGCAGATCCCGGCATTGATGATTTGGGCAGACACTGTGGCTCATCAGCGCAGGCTTGTTGGCAAGTCCTATTCCCATGTTGCCTGAGGCCGCCCTTGTCCCCCGCTGGGCTGGGTTATCCCTCTCCATCCTCACGCTCCCTCAAAGGAGAATGTGTTAGTCCTGTCTTCTGTGAGGATCGCTGCTTCTTCTGCTGACAAGGCCAACGCGGGCCAGTGGGTCAGAGGTTCAGGGTGTTCGAAACAAGAACAGATCTTCACGGAAAAGACAGAGGGGCTAATGACATGCTTCCTCAAAGCACCGCACACAAATCCCGAGCTGGATGAATGTCGGCAGGCCAAAGCAATTCTGACGCATACTTACTCTGACGTGCAGCACACGCGCAGCGCACGACTCTGCAAAGATGTAATGGCACTTTGGGAGAGACAACCCCGCACAGTGTCGTTCCATTCTGTGGACAAGAACGCTTCCACGCATACATGTTGTACATGCCACACGTTCGCGTACTGCAGGAATGATTCAACCCCTCCGCATCAGAAAATTTTTGGTCGCGCTTTTTGCTCCGCATTTTGTTTTTCAGAGCGTAATTTTAGTTCCTTTACGTCGCCCCGCAAGAAAGGCCAAGCGTTTCGTTACTATGCGGAAGGGTTGCAATGTCAGAACGGTACACAGGGCGACGAAAGATTTCAGTCACATTCGCCTTTGTGCCCATTGGTTATCAACCAATCTCAACAATTTTAAATCGGCGCTTCTGGCGACAGCGGCAGCTGAGAATGAGATCGACACCAAGGCGTTCAAAGGCACGACCGCGGATATACTCACTGCCAGAGATTCGCAATCACGCACAGAGAGAGCAAAAGATCACAAGGCTTTGGTGCACAGCTGTTGCGAAGGCTGCAAAACAGAGCGGCGGGGCACCACCCCGCAGTCCCAGCGCACACCCCAGCCCGTGCACAATAATCGTGGCCCACAATAACAATACCCCATGTCGCGACCTCACAGACCTAAGATTTGCAGAGGTGGCGCTTAATCAGCGCCAGGCGCGCTCCATCCTGCCGTTGTTCGGCTCCATCGCTAATTCGCCACAACAAGCCCCGCGACGGTCAATCAAACAAACCGCCCACACACCCGTCCACAACTTCACAGGCCCAGTCAAAACGAATTGCCGACGCGTCCCATGCCCAGGGGAGGCGATGTGGCTTGCAGGTACCGTGGCTTCGTCCTTCAGGGACTGCGCCCCGGGGACCGGCTCACGCCGCCGCGCCCTCGGCCTGAGGTGGCGGGGGCGCCTTGAATCGCTTCTGCGCCTCCACGTACAGGTATGTGCCGAAGAGGGCAATGGCGGTGCCGATCTTGGTCTGGGTGGTCAGGATGTTGCCGAAGAAGACGACTGAGGTGCCGATGATGACGACCCTCTTGACCACGTTGCAGACACCATGGGACACCGGGTTCACTCGGCCCAGCGTGTTGAAAGCGAACTGCAGATCAGGCGCAAGGGTCCATCATCTCAGTTCGTTAAAACTAGGGACAATGACACAAGGGGGTCATCTGCAAGATGCTGTGACAAAATGGGGTCCTCTGCCACAAAACGGGGTCCTCTGTGGGGGTACAAATGAAAAAGGGTCCTCTGAGTGCTCCCCGTACATTGGACGCGATGTCGGGCAGCCGCCGCTCCGACGCCAGCACCCACTAGGGGAGACCGTGCAGAGGACCCCTTTTTGTCACTGTCCCTTGAAACATAGAGACAATTGCGATTTGTTTTGATCGCCGATCTGGCGGGCCCCTTCGGAGTGCCAAACTTCTCTATTTTCTTTCTTGAGACTGAGCAATTATATTTCTTGGATTCGAACAATATTGGGCTTCACATTGCCTTGCACTCTCGTGCTAGGTGTCACAAGGCCCGCATATCTTGCGATAGGACGGAGGAGGCTCCTGGAAACTGAATGCGATGTTTTGGCAATAAAAAAGGCACAGCGGTTGTTGCAAAGAGGAGGGTGTGGGCATGGATGGCTGCCGTTTGGTGTTGAAGGACCATTGGGTTGCTATTGCTGGTTGGAGCAAATAAATGTGCAAGGGCGGTCGATGGTTGCTACTGGGTGTGTACCTGGTTGTAAAGATGGTAGAAGAGGCCAACCGCCAGCAGAGAAGTGTAGAAGGTTTGGGCGCCAACTTTGGCGATGGCTGCCTTTGCGCCTGCCTTGAGAGTGGGCCCCTCGATGATCAGCGCCAGAGGCAAGCAGAAGAACACCGAGATGAGGGTTGTGTATGCATACACAGCCGTGCTGTCAAGGTTGGGGATGGACTTGATGGCACTGCACCACCACAACCACAACAACAAGCTTTGCATCGTTTCAATGATTGGGCGCGAATGGCAATTGGATGTCCACTCTGTACTCAAGCTCAAAAATGAAACACACAAGACAATTGCATAGCTCTGTCATTGAGAACGCAGATAATAGGGACATGCGGAAAGAGGCAATACAGAAGTGCGGAAGAGGCAATGTATTGGAAGCTATGCTTCTCACAGTAACAAGACAATATCAAGACGGAAATGCCATAAATGATCGTATTGTAGAAGCTGCAGCTTGAGAACACCAACGCACTGCACTCTGCAGTTCATGACTTGACTGATGCAAAGAGGCACCAGGGACGACTTGTGCCAAGCATATTATCCCACATCGCCTGATATGTTCATGGGCACTGCATTGTCGCGTTGAGTAATGGCAGCTTCGCTCACCCCTTTCCCCAGACTGCCCGGAAGGCAAAGGTGATGTTTGACAGCATGGCGCTGCCAAAGCCCAGCCAGTTGAAGCTCAGTTCAGCCGCAGATGCAAGTGCAACGCCACCCTGCGATTGCAGGAAATCGTGGCAGCTCAGGAACCAGCTCAGCAATGGTAGGATAGGATTGGCCCTGCCTGCTTAAGCAAGCCTGCCTGCCAGCAAGCTTGCAATGTGTCAAAAAGTATAACGTCTCTGGCTGTGACAAGGGGTAAGGGCTGATCTCTTGCATAAATCCGAAATGAAAAATATACCAACAAAATGATGATAGCACAAGGAAAATAGATCTCCATCATAGACCTGCCGCACGACCCCCACACATCAATACCCCTGAACGGGACATTTGTCACCAGCAGCACATACACCTTTACAACACCTGGACACCACTGTGTGGCCAGCAATAACACCAGGACCAGGTGAGAGAATGTTGTACTGTGGAGGGCTTCTATGCAGCTATTGATCTGACTTGTTGCAGACATCCACAGCATACACAGACGTTCACAGGCAGCCAGCCTCCACCATCCACCACCCACAACGTTTCAAGTTGCAGCATAAGGGGAACTCTGAATAAGGAACAAGCAGAGAACAAATTGGGCAGATCTGAATGTACTGAGCCCGATGTGCCCATCTTGTGCATGGCATGCCTTGTGGCTCAGATCTTCTATTGTGGGGGCATTATATCATTGGGGATGTGGACAGAGTGGATTGCACACACTAGCATGCTTGCAGCGTTCACATGGATGTGGCAGTTCACATTGTGCAAAAGTGGACAAACACAAAAGCGATAATCGACAAACTACATAAACCTGCAGAGCATAAATGTAACTGAACCAGAGTTAAAATGGGCCACCAGCTCCACTCTGTGTGTTGCAGAGGCTGACCACGATTGGTCAAAAACCAGGTCCAACTTGAATGTGATTGCAAAAGCAATCCATGGACATTGGCACTGACCATGATGGGCACCAGCGACAGCACAACGGGGAAGGGCGTAGCTTGGCCTGTGATAATCCAGCTCAGGAGGGAGTTGAAGGCCGGCTCAAGAGTCTTCACTGTGTGAGTCAAGGAGATCGCGACAGCCGCAAATGACACGTTGGCGGCAATGTGGCCAATGGCATGCATGATGGCTGGTCCGCTGATCTTCTTGAACTCTTCCTTGTTGATGACCTGAGTGATGCAGCGCAGAGTATTTCAGGATCCAACAGTTATGCAGATGAGGTCGCTCAACGTCGCATTGCGATTGTGGGCTACATTCTGTCAACATGTGGGCACCAATGGTCAACAAGGCATGGCACATTGCTTGTGTGAAATGTGAGACCCAACAGTCGCCATGGTTAGCTGTTTCAAAACCAGGTTAACACCAAAGGGTTTGCAATTCACACAGCGCTATCCCAGTGATTCCATGCACTACTTGATCACATTCCATTTTGACTCCAGCACATCGAATAAATCCATCAATACATCCTACTGCATCATCTTGTAGCTGCCTGAATCCATTGCTCCCTTTCCACCCTTTCTCTGCGGCTGTCACCAGTTTTGCAAAGAATGGCCATGCTGTGATCATCTTTGTGCAGAGAAACAGAGCCGCAGTGGCACAGGCCATGAGCAAGCATCAAGGGCAAGCAAACACACTCACCCGACCAAATGATGCCTGCTTCAAGCCGATGGAGTAAGTGAAAAGGCAGTAGATGGACCCAACGAGAACATGGACTGTCGAGACTGTCCATGGGTATGGGAAGAACTTAAAGATGGACTTGTTGGTCAGGTTGAACACAACATTCAGTGCATACCTGCAGATCAAGCACACTCTCAGACAAGCCGTCCCCAACTGGCAGGTCAGCCATACAGTATGCCCCAAATTCGTGCGTGATGATCCTGAAAGTTGGCTTATTCACAGCAACAGAATGGAAGCTATAACAATAGAAGCAGACGCTTGAGGTGCCTCTTCCCCACCAATAGCAAATACCCATCGCTATTGGTGGCAGCTGATATACTTCCAACTCTTGTGTCACATCATGGGTGCAGCATCAATTCTAGCCCGTGTGGAAACTATACTCCATACCGTAGTATATTACCCCCCTTCCACATTTTGAGATTTCACCGTTACGATTTTTGCTCCGTTGTTTTTCGACAGACTGTTATGATGGTGGCCTTGCATCCTGGTCACAACCAGAATGGCAGCTCCACACAGTTCACATGGCATCACCTGCCGGTTTTCAGCCACAGCGACTCATGTATCTGGGGCTGCTAGACCCCATGAGCAGCCCAGAGACCCTCACATTGTGCTTGGGGCTGCTTCACATTTTTCTTGCCACCACTACATTCACATTATTGCTCCGCATAAAAACGCCAAGTGCTATGTAACTATTCGAAGGGTTTCAACAAAATAGGGTAGTGATCAGTGCTGCTTTTCTTTCAAAATGGGCCAGAGGTGGGGAGAAGGTGCGGAGAGCCTGGAGGCACAACATACAGCACATTGTCGGCAGTAACGTTGGCGTTTACGCGAGGGTTAGGCTGCCCAAAGAAAGGAAACACGCCATACAATTGGCACCACCTGCTGAGAAATTTGGCAAGGCTTCTGCAGGCTACAAAAGGTGAAGTCGAACTCTCAAACTCTTCACTTGTCCACCAACGATGATTTGAAATACAGAGCAGCATGAATAGCACTTTGTGGAGGGGAGGGCCTACCACATGGTGATGAAACCCGAGGTGACGATCGACGGGGCAAGGGTGGGCCCAAACACCTTGGCAGCAGCTCTGCACAGATGAAGACTACTTTCAGAAAAAGCAAGTCAGGCAAGGCATCTTATGACTCCGGAGGGCAGTTATTGCACCCTCAAACCAAAAAATCGATTAGAACTGCGGAACTTATAACACAACATAGCAAAGAAAAAATCGAGAAACACTCATGTGTGCAATGGCAGTCCCCTATTGGCTACAAACATCTGCATGGCTCTTTCCCACATTGTAGAAGATGTTGCACAAGTCTATGAGTGCAACAGGAATGGTACACGTGCAGGGTGGATGAGGGTGAGACTCAAAAGCCTTGATGTACGGCCAAAGTGACAATTGAGCACCCCACATCAAAAGCATCTCAGAAGAGATCGCCAGGCATGTCGATCACAGATACAGCGTCTGGCTCAAGGAAGGGGAAGTGACATTAGTTTGATGGCCAACAGCAACACAACAGACACTTGCCAAGTGCCAATGCCCAGAGAAGCACGCCACTGTGAGTTGAAGGATCGACAGCTGTTGCAGGCCCAAATTAGCCACAAGCCATGGGTCCTATTCACAGTTTGGGTATCTACCCAGACAAGGTACATGAGCTTCATGGCTTTAATTTCCCTGCAAAATGGGATCGGCAGCTACAAAACTGCACCCAACCAGAGGCCAGCATCCTGCAGAGATGCTCATCTAGACTACCCCAAGGATCATAGTCGCAGCAAGATCATCTGCCCAGGCTCAGGCTGGATACATCACAGCGATTGAGTTCTCCTTGATCTGACCCATCTGCTACACAACACCACTGACGCGCCCTCCCGGGAGACTCGCAACAGAGGTGTGGTGCACAGCTTCGTCGTTCAAAGGCAAGTGCCTTCAATACTGCCCTTCTGTCTTTCAAAGGCATTCGCCTCCGTATTCATAAAACAGTCAGCACTTAAAAGGCAACTGCCTTCATGTTCTTACGAGAGTCACCTTCTCATTTTTTACAGATTCTTCGCATTTTCTAACAGATTCTTCTCATTTTTTTCAGCACAACAGAGAGGGGCGCACCCGTCCAGGCCCTGCAGCTCCTCCGCGGCCGCCCGAGTGGCCACGACCTCCTTCGCCGGGTCCGCCACGACGACCGGCGACGGCCTTCTCAGCCTCAGGCCCGGCGCCGCGGGCAGGAACGGCGAGGCGCCATCCCTGTGCGCTTGGAGGTGCGCCTGCGCGTTGGGCAAAAGTGCATCTGTGTGAGAACACAAGTTTATCTGCGCGGGGCGGGACCACACAAGGATAGGCCGGACAAGTTGAGCAACGGGAAGGCCCCATCGATCACAGCGGGGATCCGCATTTGGACTTGCTCGCTCGCAGAGGTTTGCAGGATCGCTCATGAAGCGCAAACGGAAGGAGAAACTGCACTGCGATGTTGGCCTGCGCCGAGCAACAGAGCCAACCCAAGCGCATGGCCACCGGCAGCGCAACAGACGGGGAGGGTCCGGGATGTCGATTTCGAATCAAAGCGAGCGCCTCTCTCTACACACACAATCCCCAAAATCCTTTCCCCGTGGACGCCCTCTCTCGTGCGCGGCGCCCACTGCGGGCAGGTCGGCTCCATCCGTTTTCCCCCTCCCCCGAAGGACAAGCAACCAGTCCGACACCCGCACAGGCTTTCTTCTCCGCCCCACAACGCCCGTATTCCCCAACACACCACCACACCACACCTTTCCAGCTGCACCAAAACGGAATATCCAACACAACATCCCCTCAAAAAGTCGAGCGGCGTTCACCCCACCGCAGTCGCGCCCAGGGCTGTCCCATCACTGCACAGTCGCGATCAACCAGCCCAGCCCTGGCGCTCGATCACAGCGGCCCCTATTCGCCATTTAAGCCCGATACGATCCACACAACAAAACAAAACAACAGGCCGCGGATCCCCACCTGGCGCCCCGCCGCCCCGGCCGGCTTCAGTCCGGGCAGGCCCCCCCTGCGAGCTGCGACCACCGCCGAAGGCGCCAGAGGCGCGATGATCTGAGACGACAGCATCTCTGCACTCCTCGCGGCGAAGTCCCTTGCGCTTCCTGGGCGGAGGGCTCGGCGGGCGCCGGGGGGGGTCGCGGTCGACTGGGCGGCGCGGGCAGGAGCGCGGAGGGGGTTGGAGGCTGCGGGGAGATGCACTTTTGCGCTCATGCATCCACTTTGCCGCCTGCAATACGACACCCTGGAGGTATCGGCGGTTTACGTGGTGCCGAATGGGACAATTCAGCGGCGGGAGGGGGCTCAGATCGGCCGTTTATCGGAGGCTTGGGGGGGCGGGGGCGGGGGCCCGTCTGTGCCTAGAAATTTTACTCTTTGCGCCGTCACCGTCACCGTCTCCGTCGCACCGTCCCCAATCCGTGAGCCAGCAACCTATGGCTTTGTTCCCCATTTCGCAGCCCATATCGAGGGTGTTCCCGATACAGACCATTGTGACGGTGACGGTGACGGTGACGGTGACGGTGACGGTGACGGTGACGGAGACGGTGACGGAGACGGTGACGGTGACGGCATGAAATTACTCCGTCACCGTCACCGTCACAATGGTCTGTATCGGGAACACCCTCGATATGGGCTGCGAAATGGGGAACAAAGCCATAGGTTGCTGGCTCACGGATTGGGAGCAAGGCAAAGGTCGAGAGGGGAGAAGTTGAGGGTTGTGCGTGCAAAGACAAGTCGGCGACTGGTGAAGCCGCGTGGCGGGGAGAGGTCAGCGAGCGAGTGGCGCTTCTGTGGGATGGGGCGCGTTTGCGGGAGGGGAGAATGACGCAGCGAGGCGCGAGGAGCGCGTGGACGCTCGTATGGAGGGCATTGGAGGCGCACAAGCCCAGGTACCGCGATCCCTTGAGGAGATGTCAGTGCGTTGGGTGTCAACAGAGAATCACGCATCAGCGGAGGGAGAGAGATTGAAGTTGGGGTCGGTCTGGGCCGCCAGATCACAAGAGCGATCCATGCCAGCCTCGCTCGGCAACGGCGGAGTGAGCATTTGCCATGGTTGGTCCGCGGAGGCAGGATTGGCGCCCGGGGTAGCAGCTGCACCCATTCCGAATTCTCGCGGTGTGGATGAGACGGCAAATGTCTTGCTCCTTTCGCACCCAGGCAAGGCCGGGTGAATTGCTGCCTGCAGAGGCATTGGCGAAGGGTCGACTTTCGATCACGCAACTCTCAAGCTGCGCTCCTGTTCCCTTCGTTGTCGCGAGACTCTCCATCAGCGCCCAGCTCATTGCCACCTCCCCGCAGCGCCACGAAGACATTCAACCGGTTCTCTCCGAACCCTGCGCCCTTGCCATCTCCCTTCTCAGGTCCCCATCATATTACCTTCTCATCACTGTTCTCTTCCTGTGATCATTTCACCCCACTCTTCCTCCTGATCCTAATTTAACCCCCTGGCATCCAGGCTGGCGAGCGTGGGTTGCGGCGCGGCGGCTGGCACCCCTGCCGTGCTCGCCGCGCACCCCGCGGCCAGTGCAGCCCCATGGCAGGGCGCCGCGGGCATCAGCTCCACGCCGGCAGTCGCCAAGCAGCGCAGGCACCCCGTGGCCCTGACGCCAAACACGCCTCGAAGCGCAGTGTCGCTGTTCGTGGACAGGGAGGAGGCGGAAACCATGCCACCGTTCCCAGGTGAGCCGCAAGGGGGTGGCTCGATGGTTGGATGGAATTTTTGTGTGTCAAGATGTGCATTTATACCCCGAAACATGGGTCATGCAATGGGGCACCCCCTCCTGAGCAAGTACACAGCAGGCCCTGAATCAGGGTGGTGGTGGTGCTTTACTGTGATCATGATTCCCCAGCCAGGTGCATCATGCATTGATTTGCTGGAGAATGTGTTAGCCACCCAGGCTTTGTGCTCAAGTCAGGATCTTTTACTGGTTTGTGCTTTTGGGGTCTAGGGTGGGCATATGCATAAAGAGATATGGGAGCATTTGGATGGCATTTGATTGTGCTCATACTGGGACTGTCCTGTCTGCATTTGTGTTATTCGATTCCCTTGGATGTTGACATGAGGGATATGTTCAGGTAAAGATTGTGCTTGTGGGAACCCACTTTCTGCAGGGTGTCTCCATGATCCTCATCTCCAAATTTGCGAATCATGGAGTCGCTTATGCGCTTATGGTTGAAATTGCTCTCTCCGCTGGTTTTATTGGAATTTCCTTGCAGAGGGCCACAACTTGTATGTTTATGTGAAGTGCTTGCTTGTGGGAACCAACTCTGCCCCCAAACCATTCGTTCTGCTTGAACTTCAACTGATGCGCCCTGTTCACGGTCAGGTGATGAAGATGTTCAGATACCAGTGCCAGTCGAAACCAAGGTGCATCCCAGCCATAGGAGGCTCGGGCATGGGAGGCACCGCAAGGAGGCTGAGGAGGCAGCAGAGCTGCAGCATGTCACACCTGGGTGAGGCCACGGCAACCTTGCCAAAAAGCAGGCTCACCAGTCACAGTGGCTTGAAACAAATGTACCTAACTACCTGAGTGCCCACGTATCAAAGTCCCTGGGTATGTGTTTTTGGTGCATAAATGTGCATAAGTTTAGTTCAAATGAGGCAAGGGTACTTGATTGGCAACTTAGGCACACATAGCTTCTCAGGTACTTTAGTGTGCGTACTTACGTAACCAAGTACCATAGATCACGGAGGATAGCGCGAGGGGTGTCGAATAGTGCAGGGGCCTTTAGATAGCACCCCCGGCATTATCAAACACGCTGGGTGTTGCGGAGCGCGGGGGGTACACAAGACAGTACGGGGGTGAACTATTCATTTCAACGTCATGTACGATCACTATGCAAAAGCATTTTCACACATTCTTACATCCCATTGCACATGCTAGCACCCCAATGTTATCAAGTTCACTCCAACTAAACATTGCCATGACATTCCTCTGAATCAAACACCATGTCTACAACAATCTCAGTGTCTAGCTCCATACTACCATCACTCAAACCAAGGTCATCGGGATCTCTAGGGTGTCTCTAGTGCAGTGCGGCATCCCAACAGCTGTTATTGGTTGGCGCTGTGATTGGCGCCTTATGTTATGTTTTGTAATGCTATCCAATTTCGTCAGTTCGCTTTGTCCATCAATCTGGCAACGTGGGTGGCGCGGCATAGTGCAGCGACCTGTGGCGTCACTTCACTTTTTTGGCACCAGTTTTTGGTTGCTGCCGTGATTGGCGTCTTATGTAATGTGCTAAGTTGGTGGGGTGCCGGCACGCTTTGCTGCCGGTACGAGGGCCAGCGTGATAATGCAGGGGGGCGCTACTGAGTCAACGACATGCGGAACGCGGGGGGCACATAAGATAGCACGGGGCCATGCTACATAGAGCCCCCCGCGTTCCTGACGCCAGCCCTGACGTGGAATGCGGGGGGTGGCACTATCCTCAGTGATCTATGGTACATAAGAATGTGCCCCAGTGGATCTGCACGTAGGTGCAAGGTTTTCAAGTTTGATTTCAGTAAAAGGATAACAGCTATGACAGAGACAGATTATCCAAGCATCTGAATGAAAAGATGAAGGGGCATGGCATTGCCCACCTGCTTTCAAGACAACCTGAACCAGAACGTTGGAATTTTGTTGTGCCGTCTTTGTGGAACTGCTCTCACACTGCTCGATGGGCCGATCCTCTTGAAACGTGACCCATCTGCATGTTAATCTCGCAGCTGGTGTTTCTTTGAGTTTGATGACATTGGCGTGCCCATTTGCTTGTCAGGAATGGCATCAGATATTGCACATTGTCTTGGCATTTCGACTTGCTTCTTGATGTCCTTTTGGGAGCTTTGCTGCACAGACACTAGTCTGATTGCTGCTGTCCAAATAGGGATAGAAGTTCCATCTCAGGAGGGATGCCCATCGTGTATTACTCTTCCTTAAAAAGGGATAAGAGCTTGGACATCCACTGCATCCTCTGGGATGCAGCCCAACAAATGCCCTGTGGAAATGTTCTCATGACTTATGATGTTCACAGTGCCACAATTCAGCGATATAACTATTGTGAAATACATGTAGCTGTTATGATGTCAATTGGATTTGTTGTGATGGAATGCTTGTTGCTGGACTTCGTTAAAAATCCATTCTGGCTACATTTTCGAATTGTGACGATGGTATGCTAAGTTTTCCATGTGCTTGGGGTGTCATGGCACAGCCTGTTGGCCCTGAAACCTTCCACCAGTCTGAGCCCTGCGGATGCGAACAAGTACTATCCTTTCAAGAAGGATCTGATACCCGAAGCTTTTGCCTCGTACTATAAGATCGAGGTGCCAGAGGACGTGGGGCCTGTGCTGCCAAAGGGCGGCTGCAAGGCCCTCCAGGAGGAATTCCAGAGGACAGGGGAGCCTGCCGTGTTGGCCAGGGGTGTTTTCTTCAAGCTGATCAAGACTCTAAGTCTGGACAAGTGCCGACGACTGCTGCTGGATGGGCTGGCAGGCAGTGGGAAGAGCATGCTGCTGGCTGCATTGGTGGAATGGGCAAGGAGTCAAAAGTGGTGAGTGCATAGCGCAGATGGTCACAGAAAGCTTGGGTCTGGAAGTGTTCTGGTGCAGCAGTCTCTTTTGCCACCGTTGCTGTGGCAGTGGGGATTGTGTGGACGAGGTGAAGACCCTTTGTTGAAAATTGGCAAAATGAAGGCCATGCAGCTGTGAGGCAATGTTGAGTGTTTGGCTGCACACAGAATGTCTGAAAAGCAACAGCCTTAAACACAATGATAGCCACAAATTGTGCCCACTGCAAACTGCTGACAATAATTGGTGACCACCATCTCAAAACGCAGAAATCATGGCTGGTTGCAGAAGCGCCTAAGTATTTGAGGACATGTCAGGCAGGTTGACATGGCGGTATTGACCAAACATTCAGGAACTAACAATGCAGACTGGTTGAAGAAGTTCTTGCCTTGAAGATGAAAGCTCAGAGTTTGTCTTTTCTGGACAAAGCCAATGTAAGGGAATGACTGACATTTCCGTCGCCGCTGCTCAGATTTGTCACATCAGTCTTTGCAATGATCCATCCAAATGGATGCCAAGTTTTTCCTTGATGTTTTGAAACTGTGACGAAAAGCAGGTGTCCATTGGAATTGGTCATTTTGGATGGACGCCTGCCCAGCTACTGTGCCATCGTTGCTCCGCCTTATTTGTACCTTGCACTCATTCAAACTACTGGAGAGTGCCCACTTGTGGTGGGGCGCAGCCACCACAATGTTCGCCTTGAAGGGTGCAGCAACTGTTCAGTTCCATATGTGTATTGTCCAATTCACAAACTGTCTGTGGCTTTAACATCAAGTCGCACGTGGTCTGTTGTGTCCAAGACACTGCACACCTCATGTGCTTACCATGGCAAAGAGTACAGCAAGCTGCACTGAGGATGCTAATGCTGTGTCCCCAGGCTTGTGCTGTATGTGCCATCAGCATTTACGATGACAACAGACATGTACTTTTTTAAACGGCCAGAAGAGAGGTGTTGGGACACGCCAAACTGTGCGAGGGACCTCCTGCGCAGTATGCTGGACAACCATGGGGACCAGCTGTCACAGCTGAAGCAGGAGGGGCAACCTGAGGGGGAGGCACCAGATTCTGGCTTTGGGGAGACCCTGGCAGACCTGTGCAGGACCGGCATTAACGCCACGCTTCAACAGCCTGTGGGTGAGGGAGGGGCAGGGCAGAGGCATGCACAGTACAGTGGTGTGTTTTTTGCTTGTGGTATTGTAAAGAGAATTGGTATCAGCGCAGGCGTCGATGTGGTCCTTGACTGCGTAAAGTGTGTTGGTGCCTGTGGAATATCACCTCTGTCGATTGATGTCATCTGAAGACGATAGGTGTCAATGATGTTGTCCTGTCTGTGCAAGTGTTGAAATCTGGCCAACTCAATTTGCTCCCTTATTTGTCGGAATTCTCTGGAGGTCAAACATTGCCGCTGGGCATTATGTTATTTGTCCATAGGCCATCGAGTGTGCAGGCAGTTCTGTTTCATGTTGTTCAGTCGCAGGAACCACGTGTCTTTGAGATTGTGGCTGGAGGGCAGGGCAGCTGTATATCCAGTTAGGCCATAATCTAACCCAAAATGCATATTAGTGAGAGCCCCCAGTCTCAGCGATACTGCTGCAGTGTTTAAAATACATTATCCACACAATGTCCTCTGATGGTGTCGGGCTGGCATTTAAAGGCTTCAATGCGACGCAAATGAGCGACCTGTTGCAGTCTGCAGGGCCTTGATGCATCCACGTTGTGATCGATACAGGCAGTTGTTAATGACAACGATGCAATTCAACATGTGCATCACACAGTCCTTGTTGCATTAGAAGCAAACGAGTGAATTGTTGTGATTCGGTGGAGCTGCATGTGGTGTGCAGACTGTCACTGTGGATGCCACCATCCGTTTGTTGCGGGAGTTCCTCCATGGAGAGCACAATGTGCACAAGCTGATCGTGATAGATGACTACAATGCCCTTTATTGGCACACCACCTATGGCGAGTGGCTCAACACCCACACGCGTCGAGAAGTTACTGTCAACCACCTTGCGCTGGTAGGGTCCTGCTGTGCAGCTCCTGTTCTCCAGAAACATGGTAGTTTGCTCTCCTGCAGGTTAAAAATCTGTCACAACATTAGAATGTGATTCCGGCAATCATGAAATGCAACCCTGTCAAGGCGATGACAGGCCCTCAGTTTTCTCCTGGGCAGTTTCTCTCGAAATACATTTGTGCTTTCCCGGCTGTGGATTTGTTGCTTTCAAGCTCATTCTGGACAATACCATCTTTGGTGAGGAACAGTAAGAAGCCCATTTGCTTGGTTCCCGGGTGGCAGTCTATTTCAGAGCGAACTAAATTGAGTTCTACAGCTGAAAAAAAAGAGAAATTTTCATATCAGTTTTACATGCAGCAATTGAATTCTGTGATGGGCGGCACACCAGGCTCGCGAATTCCGCCTCATGGGGGACGTCCCGATCGACATGAAGTGCCAAATCGTTGCTGCCCCGACCTACACCGGCGGCATCGGCCGCTCGGCTTGGTTTCCAAAGGCACGAATCCTGAAAGTGCCGCAGCTTAGTCAGGTAAGTCGGCGAAAAGCACCCGGCGGTCTCAGTTTTCTGGCTGACGTTTGTTTGCATTTCGCAGCTGGCCTCCCACACAAGTCATGCAGGACCTTGGCCGTGTCCACAAGCTTTTGACGTTCACTTGCACATCCCTGCGTGATGAGCAGCAGTGCCCACGATCATCTGCCCATTGCCATCTACCCATTGCATGTGTTTTTGCCCATGTCTGTGGCAGTGTTCGTTGTCTGTGTTGAAATGAAGAAAACTGGGCTTCAATGAAGTCCATGCACGATGGTCGATGCATGATGGTAGTACTGTAAAACATTCAACCCTTCCGCATCTGAAAATTTCACTTTTACGTTTTTTGCTCCGCATTCTGTTTTTCAGAGCGTTTTTTTTCCACGCTGCTCCGCACCAAAAGGCCAAAATTTGCGTTACTATTTGTATTATTTTCTCCGCAACAAAAGGCCAGGCGTTACGGTACTACGCAGAAGGCTTTAATATCTAAAAGTAACAGTCTCTGGGCTGCTCCCAGTGAAGATTCTTGCCTAGTATAGTATGCTGTGCATGAATTTTAAATGGCTGTATTGCCGCATTACAGCCTACCAATCCACGGTGCGTCCAGATTTCCCCAATTCTCCCTTTTTCATTCCAGAAGTGTTTTACTGCGCTGGGGAATTCAAACAGAAATCAACGCTGCTGCATGTATTCATGGTGGACAAATTTTTTGCCCTTTTCACTGCACGCTGGGCCGTTGGCACCTCCTTTGCAATATCCTGAGCACATTCGCGTGCACTGTATTTCTCAACAGTGCACAACCGCTGCTGAGCAAAGTGCACCAGTGCTGGTGCGGGGCTTATCAGGAGAAGCAGGAAGAGAGAACGGTCGGGTGCATACTGGGACTATTTGCCTGGCTGCTCTGAGATGCCCTTCCCTGGGTTGGTGCTTTCCTTTTGCAGGCGGAAGTCGACAGGATACTGTGCTTTTACTTTAACTGCGGCGTCATTGGCCCCAAGGATTCGGCAACCTTGGAGTTGGCGGCCAAGATCACAGGCGGCAACGGGCACGAGTTGAAGAAGGCCATGGACCTTCTGTAGTCAGTGGGTCGAATCAGGCGACGTACACTCGTCACCGGCGTGAAAAGCCACTCTGCCTGCCAGAAAGGTACCTTCCGATGTGTTCCTTTCTTGACCATATTGTGTGCAGTGCTGTAATCTTTTTAAAGTGCCTTCGACAAGACAAAGCGGTGTCCTCGTAGGCCTTGTAGGCGATAATGCGTGCAGTGCCCTTCATACTCTACACAGCACAGCGCTGGAAATGTGCTCTGCCGCTGGTATTGCAATGTTGAAGCAGAGGCCCCTTCCAGGTGCACTGCTGGCTTCGCTTGGAGTTGCCTGGGCATAGCGTGGACACTGTTGCATGATAGAACGCTCTGGCGTTTTGGGTGGCAGCTCGCTGGCGGCAAAGCCCCCAAATACGAGGTCTCTGGACGCGGAAACATTTGCGCACAGCTCTCAGTCTCAGAAAGGAGAAGTTCAGCACTCCGGGGGCCTTGGCAGATCAGTAAACGAGGCTGTCTGGTGCTTGCGCTGCGCGCCAGTTCACAAACAGACCCCTTGGCTTGCAGCAGCATCGTTATCACCTAGACACTGCCGTGCCCTTCAAAGCCAGACGTGGTCAATGGAATTGCACCTCTGCAGCCCAGCCACGGCACTTTTCATGTGGGGTCACTGCTCGCCAGTTCCAGGCGCAAAGACCCAGGACACAAAGATCCAGTGTGGTAGCAAAGCCGAAGTCTCGAAAGGTGCATTCTCGCTGCGACAAGGGAAGGAATACTGGAACGAGAATGCTGGCAGCCGCACCACAATCGGAGCTTGTGCATGTCCACATATCTCCCACAACTGCCAACCAACTCGACCCATGACGATCATCACACTGTCCGATATCAGGATCGACTGAAGAACGAAACGTAGATGTCAACATTGAAATCGTACAGCTACTGGGTCTCCGTCTCGTCCCCGTCGCGTCTCCGTGCTCATGGTCTGTATCCGCAATACCCGTGCCTGGGTGGGGGGGGAATGGGTAGTGCTATACTATACTAAATTGGAGGGTAAAAAAAATGGCCTGAAGTGGCCCGTACATTGTGAATGCGGGAGCGTATTGTGAAGACCCGAGCCGCCCAGCCCCTGGCGGAGTGAGGCGCCCACCGCGGGCGCGGGCAGTCGGCGGCCCGCCATGAAGCGCAAGCCCTCCTCCCCGCTGCCTAGTCCGCGCCTGGCCAAGTGCAAGCCCAGGGTGCCGCCCGCATGCCCGGACGTCGAGGTCGCCGATCTCCTGCAGTCCAGGAACGTCAAACACAAGGTGAGATCGACCCCGCGCGCCCCCGCCGGGCGGGACAACCCTGGGGCATCTTGTCTTAGGACGGGGGCGACACCCGGACGCTGAAATGTGATGCTGTATTTGGGAATCGGAGAAAGGAAAAGGTGATCGGCGAGGAATGGCGACGGGATCGCTGCGGGCAGCACCTCTGGGAGAGTATTGAATTGCGCGCCGATCTTTGCGGGATCGGGGGGACAGAGATTGAGCGATGCCGCCCGGCGGCTGGGGCGCGCCGCGCCGCCCCCGCTGCCGTCTCAGCGCGCCGCGGGCGTTTGTCGCCGGGCCGCGACGCTGCAGAACGCCCCGGCTCTGGCCCGCAGGTTTTTGTTCGACGCCCTGAGCGAATCGATGGCCGTTGATGCAGTTGGGCGGGGCGTTCCGTGCGCGAATCTTTGGCCTGCTGTTTTCTTCCACTTTCGTTTGTTTTATGGGGGCTGCGTGCGATGGTGCCGCCCTTGTGGCGCGAGTGAGTTTTGGAATGGCGCTGCAGCCTGTGCGGCCGCTGTCGGCCACGCTGGGAGAGCAGCTGCGGATCGGCTTCCAGTCGCTGTGGGAGTCGAAGGAGTTCGCCGACTGTCTGCTGGCCGTGGGCGATGAGGAAGTGAGTATGGGTTGGGGATGATTCTCGCCAAATAGCAGAGATAAGGCACACGGTGAAATCCTGCTGTTGATAAAAGGAATGCAATTCCCTTTCTGGATCTTTGCCAGACCAATTTCAGACCGCAGGACCAGTTTTTCAAGCCGTTTTTCGGATGCGAGATGGGATCGAGAAGTCCCCCAGTCCCCAATCCGAAATGCACAACACGAAACACAACCACACAACCAGGGCGAGACGTCTGGGGCGGCGCCTGGACTCTGAAAAGCGAGGCAATACTCTGAAAGAAAGAAAGAACGTGGCAAAGAGAATATGGAACCTGAGCCCACCATCACCAGTAATGTGCAAGGTATCCCTTTTGCAGTGCAAAGGCAGTTGTAAAATGTGTCCATTCATTTTGAAGCACTCGAGTCATTGTTGGGGAGCCAACAGCCACTCGAGGGACCCTTTGAAAGGGTGACCCTGCCATCGAATGTCGTCCATGGATCCATAGCAAGGCTGCTGTTATGCTGCTGTCCTGCTGGATTCCAACGTTGCTTCTGGACACCACAGTGTGTTTTTGTTTCTCCCCTCATCATGCTGATTGGCCACTGGCCTGAGCTGGTGATTGGGTAGAATTTTCTTTGGATAATGTTTGTTGACAGTGTACAGATTATTGCCAATCTGCATATGTGTTCTGGGACACGTACAATACGTACAATGACACGTACAATGGGACACGTACAATGTTCAGCTGGATGGTTTGAAAATTTGGTCCCTGTCAGTGGCATAGTACTACACAGTCAGCACTCATGGATTCTTGGGACACATTGATGTCAGTTGACTTGTGCAGGACATGAAACCTGCATTTTGTCCACTGGCAGGGCAGCAAGGCCATATTGGCCAATGTGGCAGGCTGAAAGCCTCAACAGTGTCCCATCGGCTCAGCAGCCCTGGGCCCATATCGCCATATTGCCATCCACAGGAACAGTTTTGTGGAACATCGTAGTAACATGCAATGTATACATCTGGCTTGTCATGCAATTGATGTCCTGCTGCCAGAGATCCAAATTTGCAAGTATCACTAATGGTGGCATCGTTCTGTGGACTACCCCAAACCCACAAAGTGTCCCCAAAAAAACAAAAGACAATGTAAGGCAGTTTGAGTACTGCTGCCAAAGTATTGGCCCGTACATCTTACGAGAACCGCAACCGCTGCAAGACTTCGATTTCTTCTTGGAATCCTTCAGCACATGGACCTATCAGGTGGCAAAGGAGTGCTGCTATCAGTGGTGGCCAAAACATGGATTGTGGATCAGAACACAAACCCAAGTTGCGCTGCAGGTGCAAGGGCAGGACTATGCTGTACTCTGTCATGCATGGCGAGAAATGCAGCCAAAGCTGTTTTCTTGATGATGTTCTTTCCCAGACAAGATTCCAACCTATTGACCAATTGGCGGCGGTCATGTATGCGCAGGTTGCTGCCCATCGTGTGGTGCTGGCAAGCTGGTCACCCGTGTTCAAGGCGCTCCTGTCACGCTGGACAGGGCCTGCGGAAGCTGACCCTGTCGCTGGCGTGCGTGTGCGCATCGAGCTCAATGGAGACGATTTACCCTCCAACTTCAAAGAAGTGCTGCGATTCATGTACACAGGGGCATGCGAGGTGTGCTGCGAGTTCTGGGATTGAGCCTCTTGCGCATGGCATTGTGAAGCCCTTCACCAAAAGTGGCTTGTTCCTGGGGTACTGCGTGTGGCTGTACTTATTACAGATTGCAGGAGACAGAGTGCAAGCTAGTTGGCTCATTCAAGTGAATGGTGCAGGGAACTAGGCTCATTGGGGGAAAATAGCAACTTTGGCACGGGTTGTTGCACTCTTCATCACCTGCAAGGTGCACGGGCTGGACTTGTTGTGTGATATATCCCATTTTTTTAGATCCAAGGATTGACTGAATGAGATGTGTACTCTCTGCCCCCACCAGGTATCTTCCTGGAATGTGGTCCAGCTTCTGCGCCTCACCAACTTTTATGAGATCCTGCCTCTGAAGGAGATCTGTGGAGAGTTCCTGTTTGAGCTGCTGTCCGAGACCGAGCTTGCACTCCTGATGGGTGTGGCAGAGAAATACGATTGTGTGGGGCTGCGCAAGATGCTTGTGGACCACCTGGCCCACAATTTTGAGGCCCTGTTGGACACCGGGGCCCTGTGGGACCTCACTGTGGACACCTGGGAGGAAGTACTGTCACAGGACGTGCTGGCGGTGGGTGTGGTGCTGAGACACTGCAGGAAATCTGAAAAAATCTGGAAACTCTTTCATAAATGGAGTACAGGGGTTAGTGTACAACTGCAGAGCATTGGAATATTGTTAGCAGCATGTACTGTTGCAGCGCAGGAGGGCCCAAAAAACCGAAAGGAACAGAATGAAAAAGCAACTTCGGCTACAACATCGGGCAGTGGTCATGGGACCTTGCTCTGGACACCTGAAAGCGATGCTGGCACAAGACATGCTGGTTCTGGATTACACTCCCCTGATTGAAAATAGACTGAACTTTAATCCGGTACCATATCTGCACAGTACAGCGTGTTATAAGAGAGGCAAAAGAAGAGAAATCTTGAATCACACCAAGAATCTTATCTGAACATTGCCAAGTTTGCAGTGTGTCATCCTTGTTGGAATGACATTACACTGAAGATGCCTACAGGCACCCACGTTGGAGGAAGTGCGCATGACACCAATGAACTGATGCAACCAGATGAGGGAACACAGCAACTGTACCATTCGAACGTATATGCTGTGTTCCAATTTTGTGATTGTGATGGCGTCTCACTGTGTGAAAGCCTTCACAGTGTCTTTCCATTAATGCATGGTTCCTGTGTCTTCCCTTTCTAACAATGCCTTAAGCAAAATGTACACCATCCTGGGGATAGATAATGTGCACACGCGCGTGGGTGATGGCAGCCCTGGCTTGCCAGTGCCCTCATATGTTGTGGTTGGTTTTGTTGAGTCCCTGATGTGTTGGACATGGATGATCGCTGCATTGACTGCATGTGTTGAAGTATGACAACGCCACTGTGCATCTGTTAGACGAGCTCAGCAATCTCTCCTGTCATTTGTATTTATTTTGCCCATTGTTTTGTTTGCTCATTGCTCTGTCCTGCTCCTCTTGATACAGCGCTTGGCATCCAGTAACCTTGTGGTAATCCTGTGCCCCTGAGATCGGTGCGCTGACGTTGGTCATCGACAGATGTGACCGATGTGCCTGATTACTATAAAATATTCAACTTCTTTCCATAATAATGTAATGCTTGGCCTTTATATGCGGAGAGAAGTTATTAAATAGCAACGCAACGCCCAGCCATTTTTCCGTGGTGCAACGTAATGGAATAAAAATAATGCTCTCGAAAACAGAATGCAGAGCAAAAGCCATAATGTTAGAATTTCCCAGTGCGGAAAGATTGATTGTTTATGGTACTTTTGTCTTGTGACCAGCACAGCCAAGAGAGGATCACATTGATTTATGTCTGACATCTTATGATGCACAGGTCGAGAGTGAACGTGCTGTGTTGGCTGCTATGAAGCTGTATGCAAAGACCCAGCCTACTGAAGAATTGAAGCGACAAACCCTGAACAGAGTGCGTGCCTTTGCATGTGACTGCGGTACAAATCAGTGCCCTTGCACGCATTTGGCAACATCAGATGCTCTTCATGCCCATATACTTTGTGCAAAAGTTGGCTTAAGCTGTTCCCTGTGCAACAAGCTGTCTATGCAGGAGGTCTGATCCAGCAATTTGAGAACCTCCAAAGTTGCCGGGTTCTTGAAACTCCTCTCAGCATTCAAACAAAACACAAATATACATCGATGGTGCAACAATGGGATGCCCATTGTTCCTCTGTTGGAAGGAGCAAGATTCCATGCACTGTGCTTCCAGTGCCCTTCCTCTGATCCCCTTGCAGATTTTTGTCAATTTCTTTGCAACTTCTGCTGTTTCTTGCAGACTCTGGCACTTGTGGGCAGATTTGGTGAGAGCTGGTACAGGTATACCATACCTGTACCACAGGCTGCTTCTGGAACAGTGCTGGTAAAGGCTTTCTTGTGGCCTGTGGATGGCGAAGGCATAACAACTGCACTGTCTTCTTGTTTTTGCAGCTGCTGCCTTGTGTGCGACTGCCTCAGCTAGGACTGCACCTGGGCATCGATTCACTGATCTCAGAAGTGGAAGGGGACTCTTTAATCCGCGACCTGCCTCGCACAAGGGTACGAATACAGGGATGGCCCCATGAGCCAGTGATCACACTGTGCCACCTGGATCGATTGATGGCGTCACAGCACTCCCCACTTTTCTGTACAGATCTAGCAGAGTTGATCCATTAGCATTCTGGATGTTCATAATGTTGCATGATAAGGGGCCATTTTATTGTGCATTTTCCTGTGCGCACTCCCCCAGCAGAGTTGCCAGCTCAGTTCTGCTGTGCATTCATTCTCAGTTTGGAGCAATATTATGCATTTTGCCATACGTTCGTGAGGATTTACAACATCCGCAGAAATGTGAGAATAGGGCATGACATGCATATATGGCACTTCTGTTTGTAATTTGTGGCTCTGAAGAATGGAGGTGGGACGCCTGACAAGGGTTTCTTAAGAAGCCTCTTTCACTGATTATATAGTTTGTTCTTCCCTGCTTGAAAGGCATGTTAGATGCACACTCAGTGCTTATTCGGGCAGAGCGGAAGAAAACACACTTCGGGAAAAGTGTTTGTAGATGTGAGCAGTGTCTGCCATCGTCTAGCAGGTGCCACGGCAGTAATTTGTTGTGCAGTGATAAAATGGCAGCATTGTGAATTTGCGGTTGTGCCTTGTGGCTTGACAGGATCTGCTGTACAACGCCTTCAGGCACCTCCTGCTGAACAACAAGCGGTCCTTGTCTGGAACAGCCTCACAGGTTGCACTCCCATGTGGTAAGGTGATGGCTAAACACAGCTCACAGTGCCTGCACTGCAGGTGGAGAAGAGATAAAACAAGTTGTGTGTTGCATTTTGCAAGGTGTGGTGCATGCAGCGCTGCTGTTTGGTGCATCAAAGTTACCTACAATGACAAATGTCTTGCTGGGCTGCTTATCAGGACTGAGCAGCAGCGTGGCGAGCACCAGCAGTGGCAACAGCAGCGATGACAAGCGGATGGTGGAGCTTATGAAACTGCAGGTGCTGCCGCACGGCTGAGTGGTGTCCACACACAATCTGCTAGGTTCACCTTTGGTGCACTCTTTAACAACCTGTTTAGTGTTGGAATTCCAACTTGCCTGAATGGCAAAAACGACTGTAAAGCTCATGCTCTGAAACGTGATGCAGTGCTTTGGAACGAGAAGAATGCCTACGTGTCTGCAAGGCTGTGGAAAGATTCCCTACATGTCAGTGCACGTTTTGCTCAAGAAAGAGTTCAGGCCCAGCAGGTGGTGAATAAAAGAATAATTTGGTGCTGTGTACGGTTTCTAGGCTTAGAGATCAGGTGGATTTTTTAGGATGCTGGGTAGCAAGGAATAAGTCAGTAAGGGTCAATGCCTGTGTCCTAATAATACCAAAATAGGCAGGATGGATGCAATAGAAAAAACACTGAGAATGAGAAATATGTGTTTTGAGATGCTGACAGGCTTGCAGCAAAGACAAGTGTCTTTGCTAAATGGAAAACAGAGTGAAAGGAAGTCCACAGACAATTTATTGATCACATTCTGCAGACAAGATGCAGCTTGCAAACTAGCCCCACTGACCACAAAGAAGCTTTTCTATGTTGAAAGACCACTAAGGTGTGCCAGAGGATGCCGAAAACAAATTGCTGTTCAGTTTGATAACAAAAAGGAGGCAGCTTGTGCAACCATGTCTTCATCCAGTGACCCATGTTCAAATGTGGATTTCTTTTTGGAAGCTCAGATTGACAGTTCATTTCTCTAGTTCAGATCAGCGGTTCAGATAGTAAGGGCAGCATACACCTTCAGCAGCTCTAGATCACTGCATTTCACCAGTTCACAGCAAAAGTTCAATTTGACAGCACTGGGATACCTCAGCTCTGCATTCCTTTATTTGCATTGCTGTAGTACTGCAATTCAGCAACCGTTCACCAATTCGATCCTTCCCACTTGCAACCCGGCGCTCACAGATCTTGGCCCTGCCCACCAGGCCCGGCCACGAGGCCGCCTGCCCGCCTTTGACCCCGACCGCTGTGCCGGATTCGACCTGTCCTGCGGTCGCTGCACGGCCACTGTCCTATCCACTGGAGGCATCAGCAATCATGCCGTGGACCGCCAGCCGCACGTGCCCCCACCCCGTGCACCCACAGGCCTATTGGCCCCTGATGTCCTCCGCCAGTGGCACGGGGGTGCAAACAGGCGGGCAGCGGACTTGAGGGGCCAAGCGGGGGAAGGGGGATCCGGGGACTGGAGCGTGGTGGGCGTGTGCCCAGGCGTTTGCCCGGGAGGATGGTATGCAGAGCTGCAGGTGGAGGAGTGCGAGTGCGGGCCTTCGCGGAATGCGGACATGGCTGTGTGGATGGTGAGCAGCACTTGCTGAGCGCTTGATAAGCGACGCACTCTTGATAGCTACATGCCGATCGGCGATGTTTGTTGTGTTCATGTTATTGTGCATTGGTTCTTGAGGTGAGAGCATCGACTGTTGGCATGTTTACCACTTGCTCATTTTGCATCGTTGGTGGAACAGGAGTGTGGGGAGTGCATCGTGATGGTTTTTGGCTTGCTTGTGATTGAATGCCTGTCTGCTGAAAGTTGTATTTGCAGCAGTTTGTACCATGGTTCAGGATATGCCTGTTTGCTCTCTACTCTCTACTTTTGCCCTACCTTGCCTGCCTGTACTTCATGCTTGTTCAGCTACTGGATAGCAGTGGTATAAGCTTGATTCCCAGCACGCCGTTCAACTGGCATTTTTCATTTGGATGCTGTAGAACCTGCCTCGTTTCCTTTTACCTGGCTCTTTGTCATTGCCAGTTGTTGCCCATTCTTTGGCTCTTGCATTTCACCACTGTACAAGAGTGCTGGCAGGTAATGTTTCTAAAGTAGTGGAGATTGTGCCACCACATGTTTCCAAAAAAATGGGCAGATATGCTGCGTTTCTGCAGCACTGCAACGCGCGCCGGTGTGTGCACTGTATTGGGAATGTGCAACCGTGTGCATTTTCCAATTTATTGGACCAGCAGCATGCCTGCCTGAAAGGTTGTTTGCCCATGCTGCCACAGGTGAGGCACCCCCGTCTGGTGCGTGGTGAGACCAGCGAATCGGCAGAACTGGAGTTCGATGGCGAGGGGGTGGTGTACAGCAGCGTCTTCTCATCGGGCAACTTTCAGTTGGTGGGCGGGATGATACAGAAGATCAGGCAGCAGCCCATGAGAGGCAAGCGATTGTGCCACTGCACCGGTTCTCTGTGTTTCAAATTGTTGCATCGCGTTTAAATAGGCAAGGCACCGCCCATGTCCGAAAAGAGGAGATGCGATCGCAAAATCAGGGCATGGGTTCCCCTCCTGTGCAAATTTGTGTATTCGTTTAGTCCTCGCTTATTTTCTTTGATTGAACAACGGAGTGATGGCTGCTGGATTATTGAGCAACGTCAGTTTTAGGTGCAAGGGCTGGTGGGTAAGCTCGCTGGCATGTGTATAAAGACATTTCCGTTGCACCATGCAGTCCATGACTGGTGCTTTGGAAATGCGTCTCTGTCCCAATGACGTGGAATGGCTTTGATCACTGCAAAGGGACTATTGTTTGGGGTGAACTCCAGAACATCACTTTTGAAAATTTTGATGAGCAACAGGCATGGAAGAATGACGTTTGAGAGAAACCATGCTGATGATTGGCGCAAACTCTTTCAGGGCCACAGTTTGGGAATGGGTGTAGTTGTGTTGTTCTGCACCTTGTTTCAAAACCCGTGGGAGTGTTTTAGGTGCTTTGAATATAGTACATTTTGAACAAACTTAATGTGCTAAACGAAAGGGATGCTTCTAACAGAGAGTGGGAAGGTCAGCGATTGCATCAGCAAGGCCGCATTTTCGGGTCAGCATGTTCCCCCAATGGGTACTAACTGCAGGTGCCCCCCAAACACCAGCATTTGCCAATCCAGCACTTAAGCCAAGAGGAGCAGTGGCAGTTGTCCACTGTGTCAGCCAGTGCTATGACAAGCATGTTCCACAGTACATCACCCAGTGTGTGACAAGCATGTGTTACAATACATCACCCAGTGCCTTGCCCACTACTTTGTTGTCTGAGGTCGGCCATGGTGCCTGCCAACAGCTGACAGGAACGGCGGACCGCTGGGATCTGTGGGCGGGCCGCTGTACTGCGAGGGGATAAGGCAGGGGGACAAGATCGGCGTGTTTGTTCACTACGCTGTGGGCACCCCCCTGCGAACTGACCCGTTGGGGCAGGGACTGTGCTCGCCCGAGTTTGTCTCTGTGCGCTTCTTCAAGAATGGCCGTAGGATTGGCACCAAGACTGTGGTGAGCAAGGGGGTTGTGGTTGCATCGAAGGGCCTAAGTATTGTGTAACCAGCCTGTCGCAGTGCCCCCACCAAGATGTGCTGTGTTCTTCGATTGTTTGTTTGAGGAGTTGTCGTCGTTGCCAGGTTGACAACTGATCGACTGACTTGTTGACTGGATCACCGACTGATTGATCGATTGACTCATTGCACAGTTGATGGCTTGGCTGGCTAATTGATTGATTTATTGAATGATCGATGGCAGTTCTCCTACATTCATGGTATGGCAAAACCCTTCAACCAAACGAGCAGTGTCGGGCTATGGCTCAACAGTTGAATGGATTCCTTAGTTCAGCTGTTGGACTTCTTGATTGACAGTTTGTTTGCCTCCTACACTGCCAAGCACGCATTCACCATCTCCGTCAATGCAGGTCACCAACTCCGCAGCCGACAGGGTGTCCACAACCTCCCAGCACGGCCGCCACCGCCCCCCCCAGCCTCCCTCCTGGGTCCTGCTCCTCTCCGCCAAGCACGCCGGCGACAGGGCCTCCCTCGTCCGCAAGCCTGTGCAGGGTCACTGCCACCTGGGCGCCGCATCCCCTCCCCCTCGCGCCGGGCCGTCCCAGTGCTTCACTGACGAAGAGGAGGCGCCGGACGGCTTGATCAACGCCGTGGGCGAGGGCTCCCCAGAGATGGACGCCCATGGGCTGGACGGCCTGGAGCATGTGGGAATGGGGTTTGAGTACTTTCGGCGTGGCAGGGGGCGGGTCAGGGGGTTGTTTGGGAGGCGCTTGCCATGGAACAGGGACCTGAGCGAGTCGGAGGGGGAGGGTGCGGAGAGCGAGGGGCCGGCAGATGATGGGATCGAGTAGTTTGTGTGTGGGGGGTGGGGGGGCATTTTGTTGGTCGCTTGTAGGAGAGCAGTGAGAGCAGTGTGCCTGCTGAATGCCTCGGATTGGGTCGTCTGGCGTGGGGCAAAGCCCTGGGCGAATGTGGCATTGCAGGCGTTGCTCGGGCGCTAGATCAGTAGCGCACTTGCCTGATTGGGGTTGAACGAGGCCCTTGAGCCGCAAGGAGCGATTGCTGTCAGTGCGGAGGTTGCCAGACCGGGCTTGCTTTCAGGACTTGCGCGTGTTCGAGGAATGGTAGGGCAGTCCTTGCCACAGGTTTTGAGAGGAACGGGATTGAGGGGAATGGCACCGTTGCGGTTGTCGGGGCTGAGACGTCGGTGGAGGAAGCCAGAACATGAATCTCGTAGCGGCCAAGGCACTTGAAAGTCACTTTGGCTCCGCCATTGTGGCATAGCATTTGGATGGAGTGGGGCTTTCCCGAGTGATTGGTGGGGCTTCAGAAGTGGCCTTTAAAGAGTGACGGGCATTTTCGTCCCAGTGAACAAAACTTGGCACGAGACCAAACGTATGATGGATGCCCTGATGGTGGGTGTTCATGCACTGTTAACAATTTGTTGAGCGCTCCCGATGCTTGGCCCCGTATGGCGAAGGCGACGTGGTCCCTCACGATGAATGAATGCAGCTGAGGCCACAAAAAGCCGCTTGTGGCTACGGTCAAGATATCTTCGATTGGGACAGGGATGACTCAGACCCCTTAAGCATGATGCAAGCCTTTGGCATGAAGCGAAAAGGATGGAACCTTGACGAGTAAGAACAGTTGCTGTCCCGGAGACAGATTGGAGCGCTGAATTCGCGTGCGGGCCGGCTCAACGGGAGCTTTAGTATTTTAATATATTTATGTATTATTTGTTTATTATTGTTTCCATATTTTACGTAGCACTGCAAATTTGGAAATCCTGCTCCGTTTCCAAAAAATTGGCGCCTCCGGCTCCGCGCGCCAAACTTTGGTGCCAACGTTGTCTCGGATTGGCGCACGAATTTCGCCAGAAGAGTGGAAGGAAGTTAAGCAAGCTTCATGGCAAGCTTAAACATGACGCCCACGCTGCAGCATTTCAACGCCTGTCGCCTTGAACATTAGAATGCAAGCATATGCATGACAATGTATTGTGTAGATAATCATATGAGAAGCACGTTCTATTTGTTGCGAGTTGCGTGCTGTACTTAATGCGAAAAACTGCTGGAGGTCTGCTGCGCCCATGTCCCCCACATGACAGTACATTCACAGAATCATATACAGAAGGTGTTCGTCACCGCTGCGCTTCAGATGCGAGGTCCCCTGATTTCAAACGTGCCCAGCCGCTCCGCAGTATATTACGCCACACTAGTACGTGACACCGACCTGAGTCAGCCCCTTAATCCAGTACTTCACTCCCTGCACTGTCTTTCCATCCCACACCCAGACCGAAACCACTCTCTGGGGCGGGAGGGCGGTTGCGAATCAAGATAAGGAAAGGGGCCGAGAGGGAAGGTTAAATAGCCGCCCCCGCTCAGCCCCGCCGAAACCCGCCAAAGCCCAAGCGCCAAGGCTGAAGGCCCCTTGAATTTCCCGTACTTCGACTTACCCAAGGTGCTAGGGGCCAGAAACCGAAGGGCGGGTCATGAAAACAGCTCACTTAAAATGCTAAAGATTCAAATTACCGCGACAAACAGTGCTGATCAGAGCCTAAGGCAGACCGCAAAGGATGGCTTGCGCTATGCACTCTAGGTCAAATACGCAGTATTGCGCTGCACCCCCAAGTCATGCTGCACCATACAGTGTCACCGTCTCCGCCTTCATTCGCGCTATGTACGCCATGTGTGTCATAGTTAGCAATTGGGAAAATGACAAAAGGGGGGCCTCTGACCGCCCCCCGTACATTGGCTGCGTTGCAGGACCGGTGCCAGGTCGTCCCTGCGCCTATGTCCGTGTGCGTACCTGTACATCCGCTCGGTTGCCGAGCGGAGAAACTTTTGCGCCTCAGCCCACCCCACGCCCGTCGCTCCCGCGCTGCAGCGTCCGGTGGCGGCAAGGCCGCTCTCTTGCCGTGCAACCAGAGGCGAACGGAAGGTGGATGCGAGCTGCCCCGAGGGGCAGCTGCTTGGCGAAAGCGCCGAAAACCGCGGCAGCTGCCCAAGGGAGATCCCCAAACCCAATCCCAATACCAATCCTCTTAAAACGGGATGGGCGGCTTCTCTTGTTGCCTGTGGTGGTGGGGCGCAGCAGCCCGACTCTCGCTGCGCGTTTGGTAGAGTTTGTCAGAAGGGTGGGCCCCCTGGCGCTGCTCTGGAGGCGCCGAAGCGCCTCTGCGGGAAATTGACGCGTCCGAAGCTGGCGCACGATGCTTCCGCACGGGATTTGACGTTAATTTCTGGATGGGGCGCTGCGGTCGCATGTCCTGTTTCTTCATCCAAAATATTCCATCACATTTCATTGCGTGGCATTTCCTTGCCGCTTGCGATATTTGCCATTTCCTTCCTACTCGAGTGGTGATTGATTGATTGACTGCAGTTGGAGGTCGGGGATGGATTCCTCTTTGTTCTGGTTGGATGTAAGACACTCCCCAAGGTGGTGGAAGGTGACGTAAGACGTGCCAGTCAATCCTTTTCTTATGAAATGCTGTGCAAATGATTGGGAAGTAAAAAGCGCCGTTCTAGGCCAAAAAATGTGTGCCAGTCTACAGCATTGAATACTGCATGTGATACTTTATAAATGCGTTTGCCGCAAACAGGCATTTTTTGTGAAGAGCAGCATTGCTGAAGGGGCTGACTTTCACACTGTGAAAGACACTCGTGAGGGGCATCCGATCGCAACCAGCCTAAATGCTCTAATGCTAAAATTGCTGCGAGGACTTCTTATATTTTCTGTGTGGATACCTCACCCTGTAAATAGCGCCAGCCAAAATGATTAAGTCTGACCTCTTGTCTACCTTGTCAGGGAACGCCTGGCCGGCAGACAAAAATGCAGTCGGCATCCCAGGTGTCGTTGCTGGGGGCGTGTCTGCTTCTGAGCAGCTTCGTGGTGATCCATACTTCGGACGCGGTCCACGCCGGTTTGTTGCATGACATTCATTCGGGGCCCGAGAGGTATGCTTGCAGTCCGGAGCACAAACTCATGGCCACGCGGCGGTGCTATGATGATGGTTTGATGGTCGCAAAATTGGTTTTTCATGTGACCATCAATTTGAATGCTTTCCGTGATGGATATGAAAACTTCCATATCATATCTTGCAGCAACACGGGGACTTTTGCTACTCTTTCAATGCACCAAAGTACATGTGCTTAACGTGTGCAAATCGTGTACTTCTGCGTATTTCTGTCTAGTATGTATGCGTTTGTCTGTACATTGTGGCGCACTGCACCCGTGGTGTACCCCTTGTTGATTGCATATTGCCCCATTGCCAGCTGGCGTCATTGCAGGCCTTCGCGGTGTTTGTTCCCATAGTATATTATATTGTATATATCTATACAATTACTATGAACTTATAAAATGGGCTTATAAGCTCATTCATGAATGTGCACCCTACCTGTTCACAAAATGTATCATCGATTGGCACGAAGCAAAGGGCATATCAATCCTGAAGCCAACCTTCCACCTGCTTCATGACACGTGCAGCCAGAAACACATGCTAAATTGAACAATTGGAGACAATCTCAGGTTGCAGTAACAAAGCCACTGGGAGCCGTTTTGATTCTGATACTTCTTACTTTAGCAGCCATTTCAAATTTATCTCAGAGCATATGACACATAATATCCACAGATTTGCATAGCAATGCGAAGGTGGCAATGTAATACAGAACGTTTGAAATTTCTCCATGATAAATCTCTTGATTTCATTAGACGATTGCTGGAGGTGCTGGACGGCGAGGATATTGAAATTCACCCCGACCAGAAAGTCGCGAGGACTTTGCAGGTCAGTTGCACCATTTTCGTAGCAAGAATCCGATCGAAAAATATGGGCCCAACAAAGTACTTCCGAGTACTGATGTTAATTCTTTTGTCCATCAGACCAATTTATTGTGTTAATGCACGGTGCATGACACACTTTTGCGAGCGACCGCAGCGAGCGGAGCTACATCTGTGATTTATTCATCGCTCATTCAATTTCGCATTCGCATGCAGGCGTATTCCATGGGGCTAGCGTAATACAAGAATATGCGTTAATTTAACATCGGAAATTTAATTTTATTCGTTAATTTAACATCGGAAAACGGCGAGGACAAGAATATGCATACCATAGCTGGGCAACACATGGGGACTACGGGGGGGTTACGTATACGAGAATTTCGTCTACGATGCTTTTATGTGTGGATGTGCTTTGGTGTAAATGGAACTCACGCTAATCGTGTGCCTCTTGGTGCCTGGGGATTTGCGCACCACCGTGTGGAGAGAAGCAAAGAATATCTCGCGCAACTTTAATTATTGGCATTGCATACACTTGCGAACTACTGCCAAAGCATTCTGCACGTTTTCGTCATTTCCGTTTAATGGAAAGGGGCCACCATTGTGCGGTGTGTTTGATCTCAGTGGCGAACAGGGTGTGGACTTGCTCCCGTCATCGCCTATGAGGTGCAAGGAATGTTTTTTGTCTGTTCGCGACGAATACCATCCGATGGATTCAATGACCATCGTCATCTTCCTAATAATCATCATATGCATGACCGGTGGAGAAGTTACATACGTTGATGTAGACAATATAATTTCTTGTCGCCTGCAAAATGAGACGAAGATGACACAATGAATACAGTTGATATGCCTAAACCAATTAACTAATAATGGAAAATTGCAACAACAAATTCACAGGCAAATATGGTAACAAAGGTGGTACATGCATTTCCACAAATGAGGACTGCCGCGCTTCTGTTTTCGTCGCTTCCATGATCCCACGGCAAATGCAAACAGCATGCGCCATTATATATAGTAAATTAATTTTGGCATATAATGTTTGAAAACATGGTGCGCAGGTCGGCCAATTGTACTTCGC